TTTTCCATTATTAGCAGTACAATAAATGCTGTATCTCAGATTTCCGAGCAGATCCATTACAGAAAGGGGAGTTTTCTGGACAGCTGGAACAGCGCGACTTCCTAGTTCTTACTATGAGCAGTAACAGTCGATCGAAAGAAAGCTTGCAAAAAAGAAGAGAAAGAGGGGAGGGAGAGACAGAATGAAAGAAAAAGGTGACCTCCCAAGGTCCTAAAGCAACAGGTTTGAAGCGTCTCATGTAGGTAAGCAATATGCCTGAGCATGCTTGTGTTGCTGTGAGAGATAAGGTGTTCTTCTTTGTTTTGTGCGTCTAATCCCCGAGCCGAGGGTGAGAACCTCAGGAACGTTTTGTCCCAGGCAGAGATCTCTGCCTGCTCGTGTGTAGTCAAAGGTGGCGGCGGCAGATTCGCTTCGTCAAAGAGCGGAGTAACATTTAGCCGGTCCCAAGAATTTCCAATCAGGAAGGGCAGCGGCTAAAGATTTTTTTGCTTGGTCATTATTCCTTCCTTGGGACTAGAGTATTATTCCCCCCCCCCACACACACACAAACAAGTCGTCTTATGTCATTTGCGGGTGTGCGAGTGTGAATGTTCTGTCCAAGGGTTGTGGGTTGCGGAAGTTATCAGGGCGGGTTTGCGGCAGGGTCCCTGCAGGACACGAAAGCTGCGCCCATTCCAAGCCACACGCACCAACGGGGCATGTAAAGCACTCAAATGTCGCCCTGACAGTTCATTCCTGCTTGGTTGTACATTTCTCAACTGCTTTCCAAAAGCAAGAAATGAAGGATGGCCACCTGGATGGAGTAGCCCAAGAGGTATTTTGGTTTTTTTTTTAATCTAACTGCAAGCCACCCTATCTCTCCCCATCCATACCCATCTCCACCCCGAGCTATGCCAAGCTTCTCCTCTTGCCTCCGTGTGTTTTTCACTCTTTTATCTTTTTCTCTCTCCCCCCCCCACCGTCAGTTCTGGCTTAGTGGGCAAAAATGAGGGGACCTCAGCGTCAACAGGTGGAGTGGGGTAAGTGACCAAGGCGGGGAAGAAGGATTGCGTGGGATGGGTGGCTTGGGCAGGAGGGGCACAACATTTTATTTCCAAGACCTTTGCTATAAGAGGATACAAAGCTAAGCAGCCTGTGCACGCTGGCGCGCCTTGCACCCAGAGGACTCGGGAAATGTCTTGGCACCTTTTCAGGCAGGTGGGTAATTGCCGAGCACCCACTCCTCCACGGCTGGAGACCGGAGGCAACGGCTACCCAAGGTCACAAAGGCAAGGTGGGCGTGCGGGGGGAGGGAGCAGACGGGGGGATCTTCCCTTGCTGGATTTGAAGATCGTCAGTGACCCGCAGGTCAGGACGTTTGAGATCAAGGTGTTTCTCATGGTGCGTCTGGAACGGAGCTCCCTTTCCTGCGCGAGGAAGGTTTTCGCTCCAGGTCAGGAGGAGGAAAGACCAGGCGGTTCCGAAAAAGCCCCCACTTGTCCCAAAATAAAGAAAACAGGAAGGGGAAAACCTAAAAGCGCTGTCCTGAGCAGACAACTCTCCGCAGTGCCCCCTTCCGCGCCCTAAAGCAGGGCGGTTATTCTAACCATCCTCCTCCACCCCACCCCACCCTTCAAAATGCAATGTAGATAAATTTGCTTCGGACTCGAGGTGCATCGGCAACCCGGATTGGTCAGGTCCTGCCCTGCCGTTGGGGGACTCCCAACTTCTCTCTTTTCTGACTCCCCGGAGCAGTCAAGAAGGAGTTAACCTATTTGTGGCCAAGACCTTGCCGCTTTTCACGATGGAATCTTCCACTCCCACCTCGATCTGGAGCTTTCCTTAAGCGCGGCGCCCCTTCCTTCAC